TTGCAATAGGGAATTGCATCTGTCAAGTTAAGACAATTTTCAGATGAGATCGATTTAAGATGCTTGCGTGTAAATTTTTTTTTTTTTTCAGTGAGGTCTCGTTAATTAAACTTGTTATAGTTGACATCAACTCGGCACTTCTTATACATGAGTACTGAACCCAAACATTGTCAGTTTAGCTTGAAAACTAAAATTTTGGAAAGGAAACCATGATCCCTTGGTCCATATTTCAACCACAAAAACTACCACTAAACCGGGTCAATTACACTTTGAAATATGCTGCATTGAATCTAATCTAAAGGTTCTAACGCCATAAAAAGAACAAACCTTGGTGTAAAATCGGGGTTCCCTGTAGTGAGTAGGGTTGTGTTTTCTCTTTGAATCTCCAGATTGGTGGAAACAAGATTCTCTGAAGAATATATATCCACCATCTTTTAACCATCTGATCATCCTTTCAGCTAATTTTTCAACCTAAGCCATCAAGAGAAAACAAAATGGTAACTCCAGAAGGCCTGAATTGAGAACACAATAATGAAAAATTTGCAAACTTGTATTCTCTAAAATAAACAGAACTGACCTCATTATCTGAAAGATACATTAGTAACCAATTTGAGAAAATCACATCAACTGATCCTTCAGAAACACTATTAGACATGTTTGGGGATGTGACATCAGCACACAGAAATTTGACATTTTTGTGGTGTCCATTGATGCAATCATTCTGCAAAACATCATGAAAGACGAGTGGTTCAGGTTACTTCATAATGCGTCTATGTACAAAATCGGTGTGAAATAACCATATTAATTTTTGGAATGACAAATCCCTGCAAGACCTTCTTAATTGCACTTTCAATGAAATCCACGGCAAGCAATTGACCAGCTTTCTGAGCCAATTCACCAGTAAATCTTCCGATACCTGCTCCTAGCTCTATAACTGACTTTCCTTCACATGGCGGTAGTAGGGAAAGTACCTACGTAAATAAAAATAGAACATATGAGTTGCAAAAGCACTAACAGCTGAAAGAAATAAAAATAGGAAAAAGGGTGGGAGAGGAAATATAAGAGATATTAAGCAATGTATACAGAGAAATTTGCAACCATCTTTTGCTGCTTGTAATATCAAGGAAATTAACAGGGTAAAGTACTAATTTAATTCACAATTATAACCAAAAACACAAACATGGCAACAGGAAGAAGATAGAATTTACTTCGGAAGCATATTATAGCAATGTAAAAAAGATTGATCTAAAGCAAAGATGTGGCAAAGAAGTGATAACTTTTTTCCTGAAACGATAAAAATTACAGTCCAAAGTGGACCGGGAAGAAAAGGCAAAGTACACTACTAGAATAATTGGTTAAAAGAACAGTAGAACAGTTGTGTTAGTTAGAGCGAACAGATCAAGTCTATAAGCGAACAGTTGAAGAAGAAGACCATTGAATGTTTTGAAATGCGTATAATATAATTGCAAGGTGAGTAAAACTACGATTAAAGGATATGACGGAGATAGAAGACCTCGGGTCTCTCTTCCTTGTCGAGATCTGCGGCTTTGGAATCGAGCATCATTGCCTCAACTGATAAATCCGCGGAATGTTGAACCCAGTACGATTTCTGAATGTCACGCTCATTCACACCATTTTCTACACAGAACAATAAATCCCAATGTATGCAACTTAACTTCAAATTCATCGAAATGGAAAAGGGAAAACCAGAAGGGAAAGGGTTGATCTCACCTGAAGCCATTGTCGAACGGAACGGAACAGAACAGAGAGAAGAAAGTGTTGTGATGACTAAGTGCCTTCAATAGCGAGACGAGACCTTGAGAAACTCCTGGATCTTCGGTTGTACCCTCGCCCTTTTTGCTGCATTACCCCTCTTTCCTTTCCTTTGCTTCTTACTCCTCTACACCCCTTAAATACACCTCCCATTTCCCTCTTCACAATATATAACAAATAAACGCGTACCTTGTCCTAATAATAATAATAATAGTTTATTTAACTACAATTAATTATCATGTAAAATATACATCACTTTTTTTTTAAGTAAATGTATATCAACTTTCCTGGTTACTAATATTTATTAAAAATAAAAAATGTGATGTTTTAATCGATCTCTGCTATTCTCTTTGTATGAATAAAAATGATTTTGTTACAAAAATCAAACATGATTTATGATCATTTGTGTCTCTCACAAATTAATTTATAACTTCAGTATTCAAAATGTTTGATGCACATACAATGGAAAAACAAAAACATGTTTATAAGGTCTTTTTATTGATTTGTAACAACGGATTTAGAAAAAGTTTAGGGCACTGCAAAGGGCGAAGGTACAACAAAGGTAGGATTGAGATGTGAATCTGTTGGGATCTCATTCGCTCAATCGTCTTCCGCCACGTGCTTTCCATGTCCCATCAAACTTTCTTTATTATTTATTAAAACAACAAAAAGCTAGTCACACAACAGATCGTATATTTTAGTGAATTTGATTACTGAATTACATAAACGACAGTGAATTCAGATCGTGGAAATAATATTTTAAGCATGTTGTCGTGCATCCTCTTTCTGCTCGCGTCACGTGCTTTCTCTCTCACCGTACCGTCTTTGTCCTACCGTTTTCAATAATTTAGGTTCGTCTCTTCTCAACTTACGCAGTTTGGGTTTATTTGTGTTTTCTTTTCCAGAAAAAAAAAAATCAGAAAATGAAAGCAGAACAAAATTGCTGGATAAAGAAGGACTCTCGATTTTAATGTCCAACATCCAATAACTCAGCCCTTTTAAAAGCATAGCAAGCTTTTGACCCAATAAACCCAAAAAGCCATACCTGTATGGATATTGGGCTTCTAGGCCCATAAACAATTGACCATGCTTCTCGTAGTAATTACTTGTTCGAAGTTTATTTTAAATATTTGTTTTTTGTTGCGTGTGGCAGAGATTGATAAAAAAAAAAAGATTTATATAAATTGCATTAACAACCAATTACTGATAATTAAATTATTAAAAAAAACTTTTATTATATTTATTTTAAACTCTATTTGTTAATTTAGTTATAATTAAATTGTATTATTATATGTTTGTACTGATAATATACTATAATTAAATTATTCAAAAAATTGTATAAGCCGTGAGAAAAAATGAAAATAAATATTGTATATAAACACATCGAAAACTCCATTAGGTAAACAATTATAAAAAATGTTTATAAATTCAGTAGTTTTTATTTGAAACTCCTTTGATTAATTTGTAGAAACTAAAAACTAAATTTAAATAAATTAAAAAATAAAATATATTATTTGTTGGTGCAAAATATTTGTTAAAAATCAAAGCACCTGTTTACTTACGATGGCTCCCACTACCTTATTAATTTTCAAAGCCGTGCAATGATTACATACTTTGAACAAAACACACAGCCTCACGATACAATAGATTAGGAGATTCAAGTTTTAAAAGATTAAGGTAATTGGATCCAAAAAACACTATCCTATAGCATGATATGGGAAGTTTTCTTCAAAAAAAATCAAATTTTTCAACACATGCCTATCAATGTTTGCCAAACTTACAATGAAATCACAAACATCTATGATTTGTATGGTGTGAAAAGGACAAAAAGGAATGATTTATTGGATCCTCACGTCACATTGTCCCCTCTATGTATCCATTTTCCATATCCAAGTTAGGAATTTCCGGCGTAGCCATAGAGGGAGGGAGGGACCCACGTATACGACTATCCCCATATTTTGAAGGAACAAATCTTATTGGATATTAATCATAATTTGTTATTATGAGTAACGAATTAGAAAAACGAACAAGTTAATAGAATTACAAGTGGAATTGGCAATTATAATTGATTTGTTTAAAAAGAGATATGTTATGACATTAAAAAGTAAAGTTGTAAAGAATGTATTGCATGTATAACTGAAATATTTTTGTCCCGTTTTGTAGGAAACTTTGGTGAGTCACCCTGGCCTCTTTATTAACAGCCACTAAACACGAGGAATGGGGGAAGATCTTATGCTTGGCTTATTCTAGTTTACAAGCTAAGGGTTGAAAAAGATGTCGTGCAAAATACCAAACATAAACGAGGCTGAAAAGGAAAGGTGTCACAAAAAGGCAATGTATGTGAAGAAAAAGAGTGAGCGTGAGAAAAAAGGAGAAACTTTAGAATGTGAATGTTGTCTCGTAATATTCCAAACCAGTCCCCATCAAATCAAACCCCTATCCTATAGTGGGGAGTGGAGGTTCCTTTTTTTCACTACCTTCATATGTATATTCAAACCCATTTATGTTTAGAATAATCTTCTTCTACAGTTGAAAACCTTGAACGAGAAAACAATATACAGAATCTTAAATTCGTCACTAGGTTTTATGAACTTTTGGTGGGGGACTTTTCAATTTTAACTAAGTTTTAATTGCTTTCTTTCATCTGTTTGCTTGAATAGTGAGTGATACGGAATGGGGCGAATTTTCAGTTCAAATTCAACGAGATAAGCCATTTTATAAATTAGCTTTTCCTAAAAAGAAAAAATAGCTACAAACACGATTTTACATTTTTCACTAAGCAAGGATAATTCATAAAAAAGAAGAAGAAGAAAACTCATCCGCAGATCAATTCCTCCTATTAAATTATGGTGATGATTGTGTATTTGATTGAAGATGTGTTCTCGTGCTCTAAGAAGTCTCAAACGAGCTTGCATGGACGCCACACGTAATCTTCATACTCTCTGTCTTCTCATTCATCATAGCCCCAACAAGATGTAGTACACCAGCGTTATGGGCAATGCAATCAACATCCCAAAAATAACACTGCATTTCCAATACCAGTTAGCAATTAAAATTTGAATATTTTGTAATCGATACAATTGTTTAACGTTGAATATAATTGAATGAATAACCAAAGTCAAACAGTACGTTTTTTTATTATTAACAAACACAGATTAATTCCGTATTAATGTTTTTCTTAGTCTGTTATTAGGAAAGCTGTAAATAACTGTGGTTATCATTTCTACTTACCCAGTACTGAGAATATCAGGATGCACATTGTATTCCTTTGCGAAGACAAATGGGACAATTCCCTGGGGAAGAGCTGACTGTATATTTATTTCAAACAGCAAAATCAAAGAAACCAGTCAAATGTTTGTTGTACAATCACAACCACAAGAAAGATATTTCCATTATTTAAACCTTTTTCTTTATTAGGGTGTGTGAGTTTTGTTCTGTTCTTTTTTTCGGATTGATTCTTTGTATGCCAATTAAAGCCATTCATTATTTGCAGAGAATTTGAATCTTTTACTGAAGTAACCAACCACGGAGCAGATCGACATGGTAGCAGGAAATTTAACCAATTAACAGCTTTCACTGTTTTATGCAATATAATATCTTATCTTGGCAGAGCTACATATATGCTCACACACATATTTTAATGCAATGGAATTTTTTGAGGTTGTGTGAGTGAATATTGTATTGGTTGTGTTAGAAGGGAGCAGAGAGAGAGAGAGAGAGAGAGAGGAATGAATACCTGAACAATAGCAACGTGTAAGAGAACGCCTTTGAGTCCAACAGCAATGGAAGCAGCTGCCATGACAGCTGGACCTGTAAGGAATCTCACGGCCATGGAAAAAGCTGCTGTGGAATTTCCACATGCTATGATCCTCGGTTGCAAAGCCATGAACAGACCTGTTGTCATGCACATCAAATCCATCCATCCATCATAAGCAAAACAAAGCAAATCAACACCACAAAGCATGCATGAGGCGTGCCCACCCCACCCCAACCAACCACTATGTTTTGTAATTTTGTCTCTCAATTTTGCAAACTCACACTGTCAGTCAGTAAATCAAAGACCTTTTATCATCATCAACCCCACCAAGACAAGATAGAAAAAGGAACCCTCCTTAAAAACAATAACCCCGCAGCAACATGATACTGTTTGTTTGCTAACTTTGCTTTTTCGCTAGACTAGATTCATACAACTGCACTACATTACACACTTGCATACTTCTTTATCAAAACAAAGCATTTAATAATAATAATAATAATAACAAACTATCCACCAAAGCTAACATGGAATAAGCAAAGATTTCCTGCCCCCTCTTTTTCTTTTCCAAGCAAACAAAGGTCAGAACAAGTTGATTCGTTTCTACTACTTTACACTGATGAACAATGGTTTCCCGATTAAAGTATTTTCCCATACAAGAAGGAAGAGTAATGTCTATACTTACCAAGACTAAACATGGCCATCCCAAGCCCTGCATCTGACAATATGGAAATAGACTTGGCAATTATGGCAGGCATTTCAACGTTCCACCTACACACATACCATACCGCCAAATAAAAATCAATTAAAAGAATCACGAGTACGAAAATGTTGAGAAAGGAAAAGAGGTACCTGAATGAAATAAGTGACCAAGCTAGACCGATTAGGCTGGAGTAGGTGTTGGGATTTCTGATCAGTTTCCTCCACACCATGATCAAAATAAGCCTTGTCATCACACTTGTAGGAGGCATAGTTTTTGGATTTCCATTCCCAACTTTCTCACCTTCGTGCTCATTCGCAATCTCTCTTTTTCCAAAACTAAAATCATCCTTCTCTAGGTACTCCTCTTGACCGTCCCTGTTACCCTCCACTGGCGATCACAACCAACATAATAACAACCATAATAAACAACCAAATTAAGACTAAAAATACGAAATTTATTTATTTATGAAAACACAAAACCTTTTCTGGGCGACACAGCTAGCTTCACTTCTTTATGATCGTATTCATGTCCAGCAAACACATCCGAAACCGGGGAAGCACTTGAACTCCAAACGAACATATGAAGGTCCTTGTTTGGATCATCAGGCTTGGGCTGGGGCTGCCCATTGGGCTTCTTGGGACCATTTTTATGTGCGTTGGGGGAGAACATGCCAGGGTTAGGTGCAGGGTAATGATGCCTGGGTTTGGAAGCATCGTCGTCGTAATTGGATGGTCTGGGAGTTGGTCCTCTGGAGGCAGAGAAGCCATAAACGTCGTTGGAAGCGAAGTTAGAGTTACGAGGAGGGGCCATCATGGAGTAGAAGTCGGAGTGGTTGAAGCTGGAGGCTCTAGGAGTGGGGTTTGTGGAGGACTGGAGAGAGTAAATCTCTGCATTGGTGAGGTTGGAAGGGCGAGGGGTGGTGGAAGAGAAGCCCTGGGACCTTCTAGAAAAGATGTCGGATCTGGAAGCGTTGGATTTTCTGACGGTGACGTGGAGCTTGCCGTCCTCTTTGATTTCGGCTTGGGTTTCCAAGGGCTGTCGTCCATCAAGCGACATCACATCGGAGTCCACGTGGATGGAGACAATGGTGGCGCCAGTGTCTGGGAACTGCTCAGAGATCAACATTCTGGCGCCTCTGTACTCGAACATGAACAGCATCAGCGTGTACCAGATGATGCACTGGAGGACCACAATCTGAACCATCAAACTCCCCGAGAACTCCCCGTACATCCCCTTCAGTAACGGAATGCCCATCACCAGCGTGTTGGGGAGGGTTGAGATGGAGAACAGCGTTATCGTCCACTCCAAACACCCCCTCTTGCTCACGTTGCTCCAGATGGTGAGCACCACCAGCACGATGATCTTCTGCAGCGAGTCGGCCGCGATGAACCGGAAGTTCATCTCGTAGGGGTTGTTGGACGCGATGAAGTGGAAGGAGAGTAGAGGGACTGCGAACAGAGCCACGAACCGGTTTATGCCGGAGCATTGGTCCGGGGAGAAGATTTTCCACCATTTGACCGAACCGTAAGCGAGTATCATGGCCACGTAGAGTGGCACCATTGCTGTCATCACGTGGTAGAAGTCCGTTAACGTGATCATTTTCCACTTCCTTCGGATGTTTGAGTTAAGTGGCCTGTGAGCTAGTTTGGAGAAAGAAGAAGAGAGGTTGATGGGAGAAGGTGAAAGAAAAGAAGAAAAGTGACAATGATGATGATGATTATGAAGGAGAAGGAGAAGGAGAAGGAGAAGGAGAAGGAGAGCATGAGTGTCTGGTTTTAGACGTGGTGTGGTAGTGGGTAATAAGGAAAGAAAAATACAACATATATTATTATTTTCTTTTTCAGCTTTGAGAGGTGCGTGCGTGCGACCGAGCTTGCACTTGCAGTTCAGTCCCCAACGCAGAGAGAGAAAGAGAAGGTTGGGGATATTATAAATTTTTTCTTTTGCTTTTGGTTTTTTGTTTGTTTGGATTTGGGGTTGGCGTTGGCGTTGGGGTTGGGGTTGGGGGGTGAGCGTTGAACTTGATCCACCTATGGGACTTGAGTGAGTGGAGTGGAGTGTGTGAGAAAAGCCTAAAAGGTAATGAAAAAGCAAATAGGGATGAGGTGGGTGTGTCCACAACCAAGTGGAATAGTACTTGTTTTGGAGCGAGATCATTGGATCCTCTGCTTCTTCCTATGAGCTGTAGTTTAGTTTTGTCCAGGCCATTGGCCATGCCTCTGTTTAAATCATATTCTCTTCCTGTCCACTCCACATTTTTTTCTGTTTTCCGTGGGATTTCAATCTTCATACCACCTTTTTTAAACCAGATTATGCCTAACTATCTCCCTTTATATTTATTTATTTATTTATTTTAATCTTCTACACAAACATTTTGGTCAAAAAGCAACATACTTCGTCCATGTTTGCTTTAAACATTAGAAAGTTGATTATCGCATTTTCGGGTATTAAATCGGCGTTAACTTAGATATACGTCTTAATCATACTTTAATAATTTAAAAATAGTCGGAGAAAAATGGAAATAGTTGAATGGGGATATGGACAAAGTGATGATATTGAAATGAATTGAGAGAGGATGGTAGAGTCCAGGCACTAGGGTATAGTGGTAACACCCTAGGACAAATGCATGAGGTAAAAAGAGTAGAAACCATCACATGGCTTTGAATTGTCCCTTCCCAACAGGATCTAATAGGGCTTGCATGCCATTGTCAATAGCTTTGGGTTCACTTCGTTAGGTGGGTTTACATACTCACTCCATCAGGATCATGCTCTCAACTGAAAAGCAATTTCATGTTCTATGCTTTTTTGGATAAGAAACGAGAGAGAAAGAAATAAACCTCAACTAAGTATTAGCAATCTATATAAACAATATTTGAAATTTGAACCGATACTCTATAGTACTAGTAATCTTGGAAATATTGACGAAGAAAAATAAAGAAATAGCAGTTGTTGGTCTCCTAGAAGTGATAAGTGAAGCATGCGTGGAAGTTAATGATGGAAGGCATTGAAGAGAGAATGGAATGAAAGTGAAAAGGGGGTGGCAACAATTCATACAATATTCAAATCTCCAAACACCATGCATGCTTATCTTAACTTAGTTGCACGCACTCCCACGGGTTTTTATGTTTCCTAAGAGCATAAAACCAATGCATGCATTTCAATTTTTTTTTTTCTTTTATCTCTAAACTCCTTTGTCTTATTTACCTCTATCACCTACTCGATTCCTTCAATCAGTGTGTAATCTCTTGGCCTCATACAAAAAATAAATACACCATAGTAGAATATTTTCTCCCAAAATTTCGTGCCTTTCAATATATTGAGTGTGGCTAATTAAAAATGGGTTGGTAGTACTAATACACCGTCCTTACCCACCAAATTGTTTAATGGGTGAGAAGAGTGTTTGTGGTATACGAGGAATAAATTTAGAATATATATATAAAATCATACATAAAAATAAAAGTTGTATAACAATGAGAATTAATATTAATCCCACTACATGCTTGCTTCAATTTAGGAAATGTACCTGACAAAACAAGAAAGCAGTGACATTAATTTGTGGTAGGGAAAACAATTTTGTGTTGCGGGGGAATAAAAGCATGTGTGTGAAGCTACTTTCGCAGAATTTTCATAGGCATTGATTGGAGGAGGATAAACAAGTTATACTTTTGTTGGGCAATGAGGCATGTATATATTTGTGTGGATTCACATCGAATTTCAAACACATTATCCGATATTGACTTGCTTAGGATTTTGTAAGGGTTTCGTAGAAATCACACTTCTCTTTCTTTCATCTTGGAACACCTCAATAAAATCATCTCACAAATCAAACCACACGCAAGCATGGATGTAATATAGTAACTAAGATGAATGTGTAGTTTTTCTTTTCTTTTAAGAAATTTATCCACAATGCCCTTTATCTACCTATTCTTATATACGTGCCAAAATTGCATTATGTAATGTAAATTATAGTGATTTTTCTGTTTCTTTATATCTCTACTAGTTTAATTGAAAGATAACAAACAAATTAAGAAATGACATTAAAATTTGCTTTATACTCAAAAGTGTTTCCTATTATTATTTGAAATAAGTTTAAAAATTTTAAATCAGATAATAATAATAATAATAAAACAAAAATAAAACATAAGTTAATAATTAATACTACTATCTTCTTATAAGAAATAGATAAAAGAAAAAGGAGAGTAGAATGACTTTTTCTCTCCGACTTCTAATGTATTTTCATTTTGGTGAGTAAAAAAATTAAGGGTTTTACCATCTGATATATCATGGTTTGAAGAGTTAATAGGTTAACTCACTTAAATATGTATCTTTTTTAATTATTTTTTATATTTTAAAATTATTAAAAGATACATTGGTGAATTGACTTATTAGAAGAAGTTAGTTAAGTGTATTGATTTTCTAAAATATTTATTTTTCATTAATTTATAATAACATAAATAAAAAAATCAGAATATATATATATATATATATATATATATTTTTTTTTAAATAAGTTAATCCACTGCTACTCAACTCAAGTTCATTTACATTGAACTTGTTTTAATTCATTATTACAAAATTTTAAACTTTATCAACCTGAACTACTTTTAAGTTTTAAGGTTTATTTTAAGTTAGAATTTATTTGAAAAAGGATAAAAAAATATATATTGTGTAAACAAATTAAGTTTAGCTTATTTAATGTAATAAAGATTAAAATCTATACATATAAAATTCATTCCAAAATGTAATTTTTTTAATTAATAGATAATTACTTAATTCAAGTATGACATAAAAAATATATTGTACTTGATAGATAATTACTTTAAAGATGACATAAAAAATTTTTACATGTAATATTATTTAATTATGTTTCAGTATTAATTATAAAATATAAAACCTTCTAATAACACACTTCCTTATTATCGATCAACAACATTTTTAGAATATAAAATAACCTATTTAATCATAATTAATAATATAAAGTTATATTAAAAGCATTCAATAAATAATACAAAATAAGAATTAAAAAAGTTAATCATAAGAGTAAAAACGTTTGAAATTTAAATAATAAAGTTATAATTATATTAAATATCAAAATTTTATTTAAGTTTTTTATCATTGATTTCAGTGACATTCTTTTACTTAATCTATTTTGCATTAAGAGTAAAAAATAAGTAATATTTAGAGAATTTTAAAATATATTAATACAATAAAATAAAACACAGTTTAAAATAAATAAAATATGTGGAAATTATAAAATGGCGGAAACTGGTAAAACAGTTGTGTTATGGGAACAACACGATACATTGGCATGTTTGGAGACTCAACAGAGTCCTCGTACAAATGGGATAAAAATGAAAGTGAAATTTATATAAGTAGACAAAGTTTGTAATGGTTAGGCACGCATGTTCCATAAAACCCCTTGAAATGATGCTTATACGAATGAAAACAAGCAAATCAAAGACCCTTGGCGCCAGGAAGATTAATCCATTCCAATTGAATTTCCACCTCACCGCATTCAACGTGTCGCAGTCTTAGAACGATGTTTTGGACAAGTTTGCCATCCTCATAAACCACGCAGCTTTCCTCCGCTAGACAGTTTTGCCTGCATGGTTGTATTCTTGTGACAATGGTTCCACTGGGAAGCTCATCTAAGTTCATCTTTAAGGCTTCTATGTATGGTGCGATGTCAACTTCTGCATCTCCCATTTTGTCATCCATGGTGAAAGTGTCATGATCAAAGACAGTCTGCAAAATATCATGCTTAGAACACGATCATACATTAAACTTGGATCTTTCATTACTGGTACGCTTACCAGTTGAAGTGGAGTAGTGGGATCTGTTACAGAAAGAGTAAGATCTTCATTCCACTCAGGGTTAATATCCTTCTTAATCACACGAGTCTTCAGCTTCTGAGGAAACAGGTTAAGATCGAGTAAATTATAATAGAAGAAGATGCTGGCTATGAACACACTCAAGAGTTTGTTGATTTGAGTAATTAGAAGAGAAATGAATGAAAAAGAAGTGACCTGCTTGTCCATCTTAACAACCACGTATGGATCGCTGGTGCTGACATCACGAATGGCGAGGTTGCAACCACGCTTGATGTGAATTCTTAAAAGGCCGAGAATATCTTCCATGTGCGACTTTGGTGTACCTCCCACTCACTGTCTCCCTCCTCCTCTCTTCTACATGCCAAAATCAAAGATAACTTGTTATTTAGAATCAAATATTTTGTACCAAGTGAATGAAAATATAAAGAAGGAGATAGCCCACCAGAATTGGGTTTTATTTCAGGGGATTGTATTATTTGTTGGTATGGTTTTTATTTTTAAGAGGAAGAGAGAGAGAGATAGAATGTTTGTATCATGGAATATGAGAGACACAGATTGATGTTGGCTAAGGTTGGTTTGGTTTTGTAGAGGAGAGGATCCATTCATTCACAGTTCCATGCATGCCATGCACCTTCCACGTGTAAGATTCTCCCTTCTACTCTCCGCCAATAACACTCTTCACCCTCCAATTTTGTGGTTATTCTACTTTATGGAAATAGTTTTTGTTTCTAAATACAGATCAAATGTTTTAATGGTCCAACTTAATTCACACAGCATGTTTTCTCCAAAGAGGAACTCCATTAATATCTGCTGCGTAGTCCATGGATATGAGACAATATCGCCTTTTTTGTTTTTACGAAACAAGGTAAAAAAATATTGATTTTAGCAAGGGGTCGAAATATTTTAATTTTACCTAAATGGTTAAATCGTGTGTGTGAGTTTGTCACGAATAAATAGTGCTTCAAAAGACAATTTTGATAGTAAATATTGAAATCCTCTTATGAAGCACGATTTTAGTGCTGTAATTGTTTTTTTATATATAAAAACGTTTTTGTAACACGAGTTGTAAGAATTTTTTGTTGCACTCGTGCTGTCTAGCACATGTTTATATATATATTTTAAAATATATTATTTATTAAATAATTAATTTTTATTTAATTATTAATTTCATAAAAAATAAAAAATATATATAAAAATAAGAATAAATTTAATTCCATATATTTATATTAAAATATTTTATATATTATGTCATGTCTTAAAATAATTTATACACGATAATAGATAAAAATAAAAGCATATTTTAATATAAATATATTAAATTAAATTTATTTATTTATTTTAAATAAATTTTTTATTAAATTAATAATTAAGTCAAAATTAATTATTTAATAAATAATGTATTTTAAAAAATAAAAAAATACATAAAATTAGTACTAATTAACACAAAATCAATATAAATTATTTGTTCTTCGTGCTACCAATCACGTTTTTATATTTAAAAAAATTATATAATTAAAATTGTATTGTTTAGCATGATTTTAATATTAATAGTCAAAATTATTCTTTTAAGCATTATTTTTTTAAATAATCTCGTCCCTACTTATACGATTTGATCCATTTTGTTAAGATTACAAATTTTCCGACTCCCCTAATAAAATCAACAATTTTTAAAAGTAAAGAAAAAAAAAACCAACAATATCTTAAAATTGCATATAACTTTAAAAGCATCAATTTTTTTTGGGACAGTAATTTATTTTTTTATTATTCTTTTTGTGATTGGTAGTCTTTGTTGCACCATTTTATTTTAGCATAGATATGTTATTAAAAAATAAGGAAGTTTCTTTCCAAGTATCGAATTCCCAGAAACTAGTAGTACAATATTGGAATTGAAAATGTTGGTTTTCATTTTAAGGATGTTCATTGGAAATATACTATTTTTCTTCAAAAAAAAAATGATAAACTAAAAAAAACAAAGTCCAAGTTGAAGTAATTGAATGAAAAATTAGCAAGATTGAGATTATCTTATGATAAAATATCATATGAAGATGAGTGTCACAAAATTGATATTTATACAAATTACTTAATAAATTTATTTTGGTAAATTTTAATCATATAATTAATCATCCAAATTTTAATTCCTATATTATAAATTAAAAACAAAAGATTTTTTAATGTTAATTAAATTTTGATTTAACAATTAAAAGGTGACCAACTAGTACAAAAAAATAGAAGAATAATATAATTAAAATAAACCTTCAATAAATTTTAAATCAAATATTTATGAGTTTTCATTATGTTATATCATCACGATAGAATTTTATTCCAGGTTTTAAATATGAGCATGACGCTAGACACTTCAAAATGGTATTTAACTCTCTCCTCGGTTGTGAAAATGAAGAAGGAGTGTTGGGCCTAGCCCAATGATGGGCCTAGCCCAATTATGGGCCCAATAAATCAGAAGAAAAGGAAGTAACTAGCGCGATTTCTTTTCCCGCGCAATCGTGATTTGTGATTTTGTGTACAGTATAGCGATGGAAATGGAACCCTTCGAAGCACTTGACGTCGATGACTCCGATCTCTCCACCTTCCTCCGCCCTTGCAACGCCCGTTCCAGCTCCTCCTCTCTCATTCCAGGCCCCGCTGGCGCTGTTCAGGCCGTCATGAGCAACCGCCTCTGTGACCACCCCCTGCCCACTCAAGAATTCATAAGACGCGTTGGCCGCGAAAGCGACCGCGATTTCAGCACCAATCCCTGGCTCTGCGCCATCCAATTCGTTCGCTCGCAGGGTATGGTGGATGCTGATGACGTGGCGCACGGCACGCCGTTGAACTCGATCAAGAATACCGAGAGAGTGCCTCTGGTCGTGGCTGTTATCAAATCCTGCACCCCCAATGGTTTCGGAGACATGACGATTACGCTCAAGGTTCTCACTCTACTTTTACTCGCTGCAACTATATATACAACTGTTGTTATTATGTGCATTTCATGCAAAGAGCCATATGCATTTTTCATTTCAGGATCCTACAACCACTGTAAGTGCCAGTGTCCATCGCAAAGTGTTCGCGCAGCCAGAATTTGGGAAGGACATCGCTGTTGGTTCTGTTTTGGTTCTGCAAAAGGTCTTTCTCTTACTTTGCACTGTTTTCTGTGTCCCACACGTTTTGCTTGCTTCAATTTAATTCTATTATACTTTGCAGGTTGCTGTGTTTTGTCCTACCCGCTCTACCTGTTATCTGAATGTAACAGTCCACAACATTGTTCAGGTATGCCATAGGGTCGTCTCTGTTTTGCATTCCAGGTTAACCCCAATTTGTTAAGGAATTCAATTCCATATTCTATGTGATGACCTTTTCTCATTAGAAATTTGTTAAGGAATTTATTTTTAGAGTTTAGTTTTCATTCCTTGTCAACATTTAAATGTTTAGGTTGTTAACTAGTAAGAAACATAACGTGTATGATTTTTAAGTTAATTATTGTAGAAACAACAAATTTACCATATGTCAGTCTATGCTTAGACGATACTAGTGCATAGACAATTTGCTCTTATTAAGTTTAATTTCTATGCATTGTCAACATAAATCATAGTAGATATGACTTTCAAGGTATTTATTGTAAAAATCAATTAACTAACTACATGTATCAATTTATGATTGGATGAAAAATGTAAATTTTTTTTACTATATATTTGTTTATTGTTGAAAGGTATTTGCTTGTCTGCCCATAGCTCTGTAATATGCTACACAGGTCTTTTCCAAGGACAGTGGACCTCCATCACAACAACTAATATATCCTGTACGCCCAGTGACACGCACTACACCTAGTGTGGGTATGTGCACATATATGAATCGAGTTCTTTTATTTAAGTATTCCTGGACACATTTTTATGCGTAATTGATATTACCGAGTTCTTGGAAATTCATATATGGATCACTTTGCAACAGAAAGGCTTGAAAGGTTATTGGCATCAGGATTCTCTGCGCCACGGGAAAGAAATGAAGAAATCATGTCTGGTCTCAGATTCGATTCAAGCTCTAGACAAGTAGCAGATATTGACTGGCGGAGGGCTGAAGTTTTGGCTTCAACGATCCGTCATGGTGATATTGGAAACTATCAAAACCAAGAAACTGTTTCGGAAAGAGAGAACTTATTATTGAGTCTGGATAATGCTGGACATGTTCAAGTAAAATGTGTTGGTGAGCTTGAAAGTGAGATGGAAGATCAACCCAACCCTCCTAAATTGGATGAAGAAGCAGACAGTTTAGCGCGGATTGCTCAAGGCAATAGTTCTAGAACAAACTCGGTTCATAAATCTTATGGTGAAAAAACCGGGATGGAAAATCACTTAGAAAGTCAGAAGCAGATCGAGAATAAAAAAAGTTCAGTCCCTCAATGGACAGACGAAGAGCTGGATGTGCTTTTAGCGTTTGATTAAGATAACAATTTTTGTTTTGAACTCGGTATAAGATGCTGGTATATATCCCTAGTTTCCATGCATCTTACTGATGCGATATTTTGCACTTTGAAGGTTGATGCGTTTGGTAAATATGTGCAAGAATCCTTGGTAGGAATGTTTCAGGTGTTTGCTTTTGTTTGCATATGTTAATCCTGCTTATTCGTTTTTGGACTAGTTATGGTAGGGATTAGGGATTTGTGAGGCAAGAGATTCCAATTCTATTCTTGCTCAAAAAATATAATCTATAATTGATTTATTATCATAACTCAACTCAATGTCACGTGAGGCAAATTCAATCAACGGCAAAAACGAAGAGGCCGTCTTAAAGACTGACCAACTCAACTAAGTCGGAATATAGGCGACACGGAATATAGTTTGAACATGTTAGAAAATTTGAGAAAAACAAACACATAAAGAGAATATCAAAAGTTTAAAGTATAGATATGTAAATTTTTTACGGATGAAGTTTGAATTGATTTTAAAATAACTTTCACGTTTAAAATTTATTCAGAATGAAATTGATTTAAGCTTTAGTTTATTTTACATTTTTTTTGGTCTTGTGCAGACAATAGTTACTTGTCTATTGTTTTTAACGTTAATATTTTAATACCATTTTCTATCCTTATGCATTTTTAATTATTATACTATTATTATAAAACTATGTTATTTAAATTTTGAAATATTTTTAATATATGTTCTTTTAGTTCATGTGAGTTGTTCATATAATCCTCCAAATTCTCGTTACTGATATTCCACAGAATACCTCTTCTGTAACTTATTAGTAGACTAGCACATCTTATCGTTCACTCAAAGGAAAGGGCATATATATAACTTATTAGTAGAAAATTTAAAAAATACGTATCAAAACATCGATTATCACAATCTAAAAATATAAATACCGTAAATGAATAAAGATAAATTATTATATAATTACTGTGTTAATTTTATCTTTCAAAATTCAACATTTTCGAAAAACTTAAACTACCATCAGCGAAAAAACTTTTTTCTGAAAAATAAAACCATATATCTTTTATTTATTAAAATGTTTTAATAACTTTTTTTACCTTACACTTTAGGTAAATATGCTAGTTCGTTCGTTTCTAGCTAGCTTATTAGTTGACTTTAACAGACACACTCTTAGCAAAAGCATATAGCATATTCATTTAAAATATTTTTCATATTAATATTTAAGTATAGTAAATATTTTTCAAGTGCGCAAATTATTAAAGGACCTGCGATGTACGATCCATTTTTAAGAAAAATACACAGCTAATGCGAACATCTTCATAAAGCTAATGTACTTCCACTGGAAACAGATTATAAAACTGTGAAAGTACAATAGAAAACAGTTAAACGAACTTTAGTCATACGAACCGCCTCAGTTGACTGATTACAATCCGAATATATTTACCTCCAGCAAAATTTATATATGCCTCATTCTGGTAAAATACATTGCTTTCCATGTCTAAAAATTGATATGCCTCAAAGCACCAAAGAATCACTATCATTTTGCAGAAATCACATGTTGGACTACTCTTCTAATATTGTAACTAAAAACTCATTAATCGTCTAAGCGCTTATAGGTCACCAGCAGCACCACCAACGAATACCATTTTCAGCCCTTTATCGCATCCAAAATTATGCACCTACTGGAGGAATACCTTCCTCAACCTTTCAGCAGCTGAGGCTGCCCTTTTGTTCGTAGGCTCAAGCACAAAGGCATGCTTAAAATCTGCAAAGCAGAAACCTTTGTCAGCAAACACATATGAAATTTTTTATATCTTACGAAAAACGAGAACAATGCTAATCATAACAAGACGAACCCTGTCAATATGTACTGCTCTAGTTTGAAAGGGCAACCCCAAATTTCGTCACAAATTATTTCAAACTACATAAAATGTGTGCGGAGTGCGGACAGTACAATCTCCAAAATATAATATTTGACTTTCCATCTCAAGTTAAAAATAAATACTAACAGCGAAATTAAAGCACCTAAACCAGAAATCAAGGAAAGACAGGCAATGGGACAAATTTAATTCTTAAGACATGTAGTGTGTGACTAAGTGTTTGACTGGGATTTTGCTTAATAGTTTTAAACAAATAATCAATATGAAGATGAGACAATGCAAATATGAAAATGAGTAGTCAAAACTGAAAGTGAAAAACAAAAACAAGTTGAAGATGTACTGGTTTTTTATTTCAAAAACTGGAAAAAAACTGTGTTTAGAAATGTCGAGAAAACTACTCACATCATATAAGAGTTTGTGTTTCAGGAGAGAATATCATTATCAAGATGAGAGTTTTCCAAAATGTTCCTTTGATAATCATGGAAGGTCCCTAACTTCTATCAGAATATATCTTATGGCATTAATTATAAAATAATGGAATTTCTGTATTAGCTTTTGTCTTCTTTGATTTTGCTTTTCTACCTCAAAAATAGGAAATAATAGACCCTAAATCACTTCAAGTAATACTTTTATTTTGGATAACTTGTAGAAAAGATGGATCCATGCATGACTTCAACAAAATGGAAATGTGGGGCTTACCACGCTATTCTTTTATGAAAATAATACTACACATAGATCGTTCACATTCCTTCTCAAATTTTCTAAAGAAATGATAAGATGCACACAAATGTCTGAAAGAGTGAAAACATCTTACCATCAATTGCTTCCTTGTAGTAGCCTAGCATCTCTCTAGCCGTACCTCTTCGAAAATAGGCCTTCACATTCTGGGTAAGACAGATAACAAGAGAATCTTAACGTAAAATGCTTGAATATGTCATTTAAGGAATAATACAGTAAGCATGATACGAACAAGTTGGATAGAATATACAGATTAAGCAGTAATATGAAATATCTTTTTCCTGCTTCATCCCATTAAGACAGTATCATCTTTCTCTGTATATTATTCTAAATCCAAGGACATAAACTAATGCACCCAATTATACAACTCAAAAATGTTTTGTAATTTATAACAACTTTAATTTTAGTATAGCAAAGAATAGTATTTAGTCTTCAATTACAAAAGCATTGATTTTCAAACCCGTGCATATTTGAAATGAAGACATGCTTTTTTATGGCTATGATGACAAAATCCATAAACTTCTATGTAAAAGGATCTTTGAAGAAAGAAGTCACCTTTTTGTCAAGACTAATTGCTTTAGTACAATCGGACTCAGCTTGAAGATAACTGGATAAACAGAGGAAACAAATCAAGATTTTTGCAGACACAGTTGACAAGTAGCAAGAATGAAACACTACCTTCCAAGTTCTAGATACGCTTGAGCCCTGTTACTATAGTATGTTGCATTATCACTACTGAGTTTGATAGCTTCTGTATAAAATCCAATGGCTTTCTGCCACTGCTTATCTTTATAGGCTTGATTTCCCTGAATTATTTGTGGAAAACAAATGGAAAAAAGAGGGTTGAGTAGAAAAGCAAATGCAAAACTAAGAATTAAACAACCAAAATAACCATGTGTGGTTTAATAAAGAATAAACTATCACTTTCATCCTTGAAGCGTTGCCCTTGCAGCTAAATGGCCTCTAACGTAAAAACAACACTACGTAATCAATCCTCCAAATATTAAAAAACCCTTAAAATTGGTCCCGGAACTTTGCTAAAATACATCAATTACAGGACTAAACTGATGACACTCAATAATTGAAGGATAACTTATATAGGTTTATTACTTTAGGGACTACTCTAGAGAGGGTAATACTCGAGGTAGTAAATAGGCAGTTTGCTCATTTAACAAAAATGAAGAACTTGTAAACATAATGACAAGGGCATGATATACACAACAAGTTCTTCCATGGTGGTGCTAGTAGCTTCACAATTAAGGTGGTAGCAGTTTCGCAAAGGCTATCAATACAGTTCACCTTCATTAGAATAAAAAGGTAAACCTCAAACAAAGGACAATATAAGAAAAATTATAACGTCCCAACAAAAAGATCAAATCTACATTTGACATTGATGAACTAAAGAAAACTAACTTTCGGTTAACATAATTCTGGCATATAGCATCCTCATGAAACACAATATTATGTTAACCCGGATACAACAATTGTCCTACGTGTAAAAACTAAAAGCACCAATATTAAAATTTATTAAATACTTGCAATGTTACTGTCCCATACATCAGATCAGATGAGGACGACAGGAGTTAATGTAAGCCTGGTATTTACCTATAGCTGTAATGCATATACACCAAATGGGAATTGTAAAAAGTTCATCAATATAAGATTGAAATATACAACACCAACTACAATAAGGAGAAAAAACGAACTTGAAACCAAAATTCAACATATATGCTGAGAAGTTCAGATACAACAACCAAAAAATAATGTCGTTTATAACATTTGGTTTCAAAATTAGTGATGACCTATAAGTAAAGCAATGGAAGTTGTTATATTGTACAATTACAGTCAACCAGGGTTGAGTGTACATAATATATTTAATGTTATACCTTCTCTTTTGCAAATTCAGCAGACTGCTCCTTACTGACAACATTTTCAGATGATTTGCTTTTGGAAGCAATGTCAGCCAGTTCTTGGAGAGTTGTATAAACAGTCTGTAGTGTGTCAAGTAAAAATCGATCGCCACCATGCCTTGCTATCAATGACACAGAAATAGGATACTTGTCATAAAATCCTAATGGTATTGAGACCTGAAAGGATAAATCAAGAAAAATACAAATGAAAAATGCATAACCACCACCGCCACCAAAACCTCGCTCTAGGTTATCATAAAGGTATAATTCTACAACAATAAAAATAAAAAAGGCTACATGTAATGTTGATTTAGGAAACAATTTTCTGCAAAAAAAAATATATAACCAGATAATGCTATTCAAGTTTCATCAAGGAGAGAATTGTACCTGACAACAACCTGACATGCTTGCAATACTTAATAGACTAAATGCTCGGCACTGACAATCCTCTGATAAGATCTCCTTACTACCTAGTTTTGGAGGAGGGTCAGCTACAGTGGGGATAACCAAAATTCCTTCATCCTTGAAAGTGAATATAATTATGTGACTCAGCACAGGATATAATCTTCGTACATAGAGAAAACAAAACTTCATGAAAGAACATTTTCAGCAACTTGAATAATGTTTATACCCATTCAGTACCATGGTTCATAAGTTGTTAATTCTCAGCACAGCTTATAACTCCTAAATAATCACATATTGAAATCCTCCAACTATAAACTCTTCATTTGCAAATATATTATTTACTTATTTTTAGTGAGAATTATCAAAACTCTTAACAGATAACAATCGAGTTACCAAAAAGAACACCTTTAAGATTAAATGCTTTAGAAGATGCAAGACAAATTCAATTGAGATAGCACAAAGGTTGTCATAAAATAAGGACGTGAGTTGTGTAGGGTGCAGAATGGTGTCAAATTATTACCTTTAAAAGCGAATTTATAGCAGAACGCATCTCACTTCTTACAGATTTGATGTTTTCAATCTCTACCTCAGATACCTCAAATTTTTCATGCAACTGCGCTGAAACAGAAGGATTTAAATCAGGTTTTACTGTGTTCATCCACTCGTCATGAGTATGTTTGAATTCATGCCTGCACAAATAGATTTAGAAGATAGTCACTATACGATTGAAGACTTCCATAGATGGTCATAATGACAGAACAAAAATTAATTATGCACACACACAATGATGAATAATAATTGAATTTGAAAACATAAGTTATGACGTGGTTTCGCTACTGTTAAACCAAATGTTAGTAACAAAGTATGTGATACAATTCCAAGGAAAAGCTGACCAAATGACATTAAAAAATATGTTATTATTTCCAAACCAGTGTTAACAACAATTTGCAAATTATGATAGTACTTCCATATGACAGAATCTGACCAACCTTTGCAGGAATTGCATAAGTTTGGCAAGTAATTTTAATGAAGAACCTTTCACTTCACCATTTGTTTTCTGACCAGAGCACCCCTTCAAGCTTGGAACTCTAGAACTTATATAGTCTACAAGATTTATGTGCTTCAATACTTGCCCTGAAGACAGTAGATGAGGAACAAAAGATTAACAGAATGCATGTTCATGAATAAAATAGTAAAAAGAAAGAGACAGACAGAGACAATGAGCTTTTAATAATAATTGAAACAAGAGGGACCATATTAAAGTGCAAAAATGACATACTTCCGAAAAGCTTCTCAGTGGCTTTGACCACCACTTGAGAACTCCTGTCAAGAGGAACATTTATATGCTGAAAACAATCATCGGCTATTATTATCTGCCGAGGACTGCGTTGAATTACAAATGGTGCTCGTAAGAGTATATGGCCAACTCGACGCAATATATTGGGATCCTTTGCAAACCAACCTGAAAAGGGCATTTCAGCGTTTAAAATTTGTAAAATGCAGATGGTCTAGAAATAGCCTCCATATACCAAAATTATGTACCAGCAACTATACACAAAAATGTCCGAATGGAAAACAATTTTATAAGAGACCATCTCTTTTTCCTCTTCTTGGTGCATATTTAGATTGGCTTAGTTTGCATTTAAATTTTAAAAGATCTTACTGAGAATATTTAAAGAACAAAGGCTATCAAGCAACTTATCCTCATACCACATAAACATACTAATCATTCAAAATAAATTAATTTTACAGCCAATTGAACCAACAAGCTCATTAATCAAACCACATGAAATAATTGAATTATCCATACCAACAGTGTCCAGACTTGTTGAAATAGGTATGATTCCCAAATGTGAAACAGCACCATGTGAAGGGCGAAATCCTAGTATGCCACAAAATCCAGCAGGTACTCTCACCCCACCAGTAGTATCAATACCTGACGTACATGATGTCAGCATAAGAAACATTTACCATTACATCATATAAATGTGTAACTCTCAGATACCACCACGAAGACAATTAAACAAGTATATTCTCTTGATATTTAGTTATTGTTACCGAAAGTACAAGAAAGAAAAGAAAGATGGTGTTTCTTGATCACGAAATAACTGTGTCCTAAATAAATGTTTGGATAAACATTACCGTAAGCACTAATGGGAAAATAAAATAAGAAGAAAGAGATAAGTTTATCCCATAAGCTAGCTAAAATAAGTAACAGTTAATCTGGAGAAGTTTTTTTTGTATTAAATTCTACAAAAGCTGTTTTTAACTTATACAGAAGTAAAATGTAGCATCGAGGAGAAGATTATTTCTTTTTTACTTCTCTCACATCACAAGTGCTCATGAAAAAGTTTATCTAATTGGAACTCAACTTCTTAACAGTTACTTGGTTTCCACCCGCGACCTTCCCGCCAGTGGAAGAAGACATGAACACATAACCAGAAAAAAAGAAGGTATACTTTTAACTGTCATCAATGAGTGGCAACGAAGTAGCGATTTGCACACCAAAAGTGGATATAGGCAATAAAGATGATATAAAGAAGCTCACCCAAAGCAAAGTCAACGAAATTGGCAGCAACAGCCACAGCAGCACCACTAGAGGAGCCACCCGGTACGCGCGCAGGTACAGCAGGGTTAGTCGGTGTTCCATAATGTTTGTTTTCGCCACCGATACTGAAAATTATTTAAAAAAAAAAAGGCCAAACAACTCATAAAATGGCAAGATGAAATTTAAACCTTTACATGCAAACCAGAGCACATCGTTTACACCATTCTCTCACAAACACAGAAAGAGTTGTGTTGAATGGAAGGAAAAACAAGAAAAAGGACGAACCCTAATGCAAAGTCATCGACAACGGTGGTTGCAACGCAGGTAGCACCTCCTTCGACGAGAGCAGAAACCGTGGGAGAAGTGGAAGAAGCAGGCTCGTGAGTTCTTGCCCACTCGGGATGGCCAAATGTGGAGACATGTCCTTCAATGTCAAATCTGAAAACAAAATCGAAATCAGAGCAAGAAGTAAAAAATACGTAGCAAGAAAGAGAGGAAGAGAAAGGGGAGTAGTTATTAGGTTAGGTTTACAAGTCGGAGAGTGCAAAAGAGAGGGCGGTGAGAGGATGAGGAGCTTTGGGAGGAGCAGGCTGAGGCGGAGGAAGGAGCTGAAGCTTCTCGAGGAAAGCGCCGAAATCCTCTCTGACGGACTTCTTGAGCTTTCTGGTGATGAGAACTATTCCGGCTAAACCCAGCCCCAACAGAACCCACAGGTTCGCCGATTGAGTCGTCATCAATTGATATTGATTTGTTTGATGCGGTACTTCGTTTCAACTCCACATCCACGACAAGAAGAAGACGCGGAGAAGATAGGATTATCTGCACTCGCCGCCTCGACTTCCTTCTAATCTTTTCTCTCTCTAATCTACCAAAAAAAAAACACAACCTTCATTATATAGCAACCCCAACATCTTTTCCTACATTCAACTGTGTAGTCTGTATACTACTAGTATCTACCCGTATAGCACGGACGGAATTATCTAATTTTTTATTAATAATAATAATAATAATTTAATGTTAATAATAAATTAAATATTGTCTTATTATTCTAGTGTTTGTAAGTAAAATGATAAAAATATCCTAAATTTTACCAATATAATAGAATGTAATAAGAAATTTTGAAATACTCATATGATTTTTATATTTTTTATATAAGTCTTCATATTAAAAATATCCTAAATTTTACCAATATAATAGAATATAATAAGAAATTTTGAAATACTCATATGATTTTTATATTTTTTATATAAGTCTTCATATTTCTTGCACGCAACACAGATTGTATATCATTATTAAATAATTTCATAATAAGATTATTAATAACAGAAATCTTAAAACAAAATCTAAAAAAAATAATTATAACATCTGAAAATATAAGCAAAAGTATATTATTCAGATATGATGCATAGATCTTCCAGAACATTGAAATATGGGTAGTAAAATAATGTTGTATTGGAAAAGATTTTATATAGATATTAAAATTTCAGCAGCTAAATCCTAAAAAATTAGTGAAAGTGTGTTTCAATGGTATACATATGTCAATTACCCCAAATTTTCAATTCATCTTCATTTTCAATTTGTGTTTGGTGTGTCACTTGTTTAAATAAATCGATGTATGTTAATGCTACAAAAATAATTATAGATTAAAAAACCTACTCTTTAAATGTTAAATCCGATATGTTTTTTATTTATCAAATAGGTGTATTTTTTTAAATTTATTAAAATGAATAAATTTTTAAAAAAATTACAAATTTAAGTAAATCGTGTTATCAAATACTATACGTAAAAAAAGTTATCTTATAATCCAATTTAAGTTTTTTTTTTTTTTAAACTTAGTACAACTTCTGTAAAAACGAATTTTAATTTTATATTATGATAATTATTATAATTAATAGTAATATATTTTATATTATTAATAATAAATTAAATAATAATGATAATAATTTAATTTATATTATTATTAAAATGATTATTTATTTATTATTTAAATTAATATAATTATTATGTAAATTACAATTATTAATGTAATAATTATTATATTAATTATTAAAATAAAATAATATAAAAATAAATGATTATTAATAAAATTAACAATATTATTAATAATTATATTATTATTAATAAAAATAATATTAATAATAAGATAGTTCTATTAATAAATATAAGTTTATTATTATTATTATTATTTTAATAATAATAATAATAAAATAATATTAATAATGAATAATTATTAATAAAAATATATTTTTATTAAATAATAATAATAACAAATATATAAATAAGTAATAGAATTATAATGACTAAAATTATTATTTTAATTTTTTATAATTATAATTATTAATTTATTTTATTATAGTAATAAAATTAAAATAATATTAATTATTATAATTATATTACTTTTAATAGTATTATTTATTTTATTAATAATAATAATATAATATTAATTTAAATAATAAATTAAATAATAATTTATAAATAATATAAATTAAATTATTATCATTATTATTTAATTTATTATTAATAATATAAAATATATTATTATTAATTATAATAATTTTTATAATATAAAACTCAAATTCGTATTATATAATATGACTTCTATGCAAATTTATATAGAAGTCTGCTACTTACAACGACTTCTTCATTAAAAAAAACTTAAATTGTGTTATAAGATACGACTTCGTCTAAAGAATAGCACTAGCACTAACACGGTTTATCTAAATCAATAGTTTTTTAAAAATTTACCCATTTTGATAAATTTGAAAAAAAATGACACCATTTGGTAAAAAAAAAAAAAAAAACGGTATGGTTTCATATGTTCAAGTTCAAGTTTTTGTATTTCATAAATTAAGAAAGAAAATGATATTGAAATAAAGAATCAATTGAAAAGAAAATTATAATAATAAACTAATTTTATTTTTTTAAAATAACATATTTTGTTGGTAAGAATAAAAATAATATTTTTGGTTAAATTAATTTTTTATTCCATAAATTAAGAAAGAGAAAAAATAAAAAAAATCTACCTACAACAAATACTTACTAAACTAACTTTGTTGTTAAAAAAAAATTATAAATAACTATTTTCTAAATTAAAATATATCATCATAATATTTAAAAATAAATATTAATAATGTTTACATTAATAATTAATAGTTTATAATAAAGAAACTAATTCTTTTATATGTCATCATTATATGATGACATGTTGTAGCTGACACATTTTTAGTGTTGAAAACATTATTCTTATTTCAAAACATTTGTTAGAACATATATTTTTGTTTCATGAAAAATAAGAAAATATTTAAAATATTATAAATATCACAAATAACAATCTAAATAATACAAGTTAATCTAAAAGACATTGTTTAAACATGAATCACAGTTTAAATAAAAAGATCAATAAAATAATTAAAATTTTGTTTTGTCTTTCTCCATCTTAATTTTACCAACTAAAATAATCTGTTTCAAAACCGGGTGTTATAATGATTAAAAGAGGGATACATTGACGATTATTTTCATTTATAAAATAAATATCCATTATTTTAATCTTTAATAATAATGTATATATGATATCCATTAATTTATTAATATTAAAATATTAACTATTATTGTAATCATAACTAATCACATTCCTTATGATTTTAAATGTGTATATCAGGAAATATAATTTTAAAATAATCAATTAAATTTCTGTTTACATCATTGAAGTGCAATGTAAGTTATTTCCTCATCATTTATTTCATATCTAAAATAAACAAAATAACACTAATGAATTTTCAACTCTAAATCCCTTTGTTAAAAGAACATAAATTCATGCTATTTTAGTTTATAATAATAAATATTTTATTTGAATCTATACAAATTTCATATAAAAATTGGAAAATTTGTTAGAAATTAACATAATTTGTTATTTTCAAATTCATAAAATTAAGTTATTTTAAAATGCTTACAGTAAAACATACTATGTATAAATATAAATATATGGAACTTATTTTTTATTATTTTTTAAAAATTATACTTTTTTTTTGTTATTTCATGTTAAACAGATTTTATTATTTAATTTTAAAAAAATAAACTGTTAAAATATAATTTACATTCTAATTTGTCATATTTTATTAGCTATATATTTTTTTCGATTTTAAAATACTTTGAAAATTTTAAAGTAACTATTTTTAATAAATGATTTTTTAGATTTCCTAATCATCATTACTCAATAAAAGTTTTGTAGTTAAAAAAAATTATTAAAAAGTTATTTTGAAATAATATTTTTTTATGATTGCAACATAATAACAGTAATATTTATAATTTTTCAAATTTATTATATAATAATTTCTAATATATAATATATTAAATTACAATTTTTTTAGATAATTTAAATATTTTTTAAAATAATAAAAGACTAATTTTATCAAATTTAATATAGTATTCTTAATTAGAAAAAATGAGTGAAAGAAAAACAAAAATAGGTAAAAAGGAAAAAAAACACTAAATAAAAATAATAAACAAATTAAATGAAGAAAAATAAATAATAAAAAAAACAACTGTATTATGTCATATATATTTAAATAATTGTTTTTTTAATATATTATTAATAGTATTGGGTCTTAAAAAATATCTGTTTATAAATAAAAATCATATCATATAATTTTTTTCTCTCCTTATGCATTCTTTTCTTTTTTATTCTTTTTTATTTTCTCTCCATTTATTCCTTATTTTTCCTTGCTATTTGTTATTCTCTCTTGTTTCACTCTATCCTATTTTTTAATTAAAAATGTTATACTAAAATTTGATGAAAACGTATTAAAGTATTTAGAAAGAATCAACGTTGAATTAAGAGGAAGAAAAATAAAAATAATAAATAAATAAGAAAAACAAATTTTTATGAATAATAAATATATTTATTTTGGTAAATAAATTCACATAAATTTTATATGAATATTTTTTGTTTTAAAATATATTGTTTATGATATTGATTCTATTTAAATAATAGAAACAAAATATTTTAAAATAAATTAATTATAACAAATTTCTAAAACCTTAAATTCAGTTGAATTGATAAATAACATTTAAGTTAGATTAACAAGTAACAATTGATAAAGTGAAAAATATGTTATTGATTACAATAAAAGAATTATATTTGTATATTGAAGCAAAGAAAACCTAATTAAATTTTATATATTTAAAATATATGTAACTAATTCCCACTCACTCAAATCGAAGTTTTTTTTTATAATTTGTGATATATTTATTATTTGTTTAAATATTGATTTTTTAAAATTGTTTTTAACTTATATTCGTTATGATAATGTTAGAATCTCTGGAGATATCGTTGGTATTGAAATTTTTTCTATCACGATTTAAAAAATTTATTTTTAAAAGAGATATAAGTGAATTAAGAATGAGAAGTAACATTCAACTTTGTTTCTTAAATACCAAAAGAAAAATATTGATGAGATATCAGATAAATGAATGACTTAGATATAATAATATGATTATAATAATGTGCTGACTGACGAAAATACTAAAACGTTAATAACGTTGATGTTACACGTTAAAATTCGTGAAAAAATAAAATAAAATGGTATGTTAAAATCCTAACCTTATTTTCTGTAACTATCATTATTAAATTTATATTACTAATATTAACTATATTAATGTTGATGATACTATATTATTATAACGGAGTATTGGAAAAAATCATATCTTTTCAACCTTTTTCGTTTTCTTATAATTATCATTAATTTGACTATAATCACTTTGAAAATTTAAATTAATAAATTTCTTATAAAAAATAGTTTTTATTCCTCGTGCTCTTTTTAGATGATAAAGTACAACAGTAACTGTTAATTATAACTAATATTTCTTTAATGCAATTTTTATCAGTAATTGTTATTATTGCACTTTAACTGTTATCTTAAGATTCAAAATAGTAAAATCCTTAAATTTATTATAATGACTTTGAAGTTTTGAGTAAAGTGTTTTTTTTTTAATATGCTGGCGAAAATTGGACAGCAAATATTTATATTCCAAAAAATTAATTAAAAGTTTTTTTAATAGTTAAAAAAATATATTATATAAAAAAATAAAGCATAGGAACAAATATTTGACATATTTTTTTTAAATTATTAAAATAATAATATTTTTCATTTCTTTTAAATAAAATACAAAGATAGAATTTGTTAAGATTTTTCTTTTTAATATTTTATTTTTTGTTCTTATAAAAAATTCACAATAATAAATAATAAATAAGTTCAGATAATTTTAATGAAAATAATTTTAAGATTTGTTGAGTTCAACTTTATTGAATGATGAAAAAATAGATAGGATCATTAGTAAAAATAATGCATTACTTTAAGTCAATACAAGAAAAATAATAATAGTAATAATAAATAGTTTTTTAATAAGAATCAAATTATTTATGAATAATAATAATTAATTTTACATTATTACCGTATTGATATGATATATAATATGTTTGTTGTATAATAAATGCCAAATTTCAGAATTGAAAAATGTACATAAAGGTGTTAAGTTCAAAGTCTAATTTTATAATAAAGGAATAAGTTAAGTCCCATATGATACATTTTTATAAGATTTTTTTAAGTTAAATTGTTTTGGTTTTTGTTATAAGTGGATAAAATCGGTTCAATGATTATAAGTTATTTTTTTGTTTACAATTATATAATTCACAGTTAATAAAAGTAGTAGTAAAGTCAATGTGAGTTTAATTTAGAATAATAACTGATACGAGCTTAATTGTAAAAATAAGGTATGCTCATTTTAGAGTTACAATTTTGATTTAGAGTTATTATCAAACTGTTTAAAATATAACATATTTTGGAACTATACAAATGAAGTCAAATTCACTTAGATATATGATTTTTTTTTATATGAAACTTGATGATTATTATATATTTGTGATTTGATGACATTAAGTATTATGACATAATATTGTTATGCCATAATGACATGCATGTTATCAATAATTGTTATAGTATAATGACATACTCAAATGAAGTTTTTTAATAATTATGGCATAATGACATACCTAGATGATATAATGACATGATTAAAGACGTTCTCGAATAATTGTATAATTTAAATGGATATATCTTAAAAATATAAAATCTAACTTAATATATTTTAATATATAATTAGGATGAATATAACTCGGGCAAAACCTAGTTTTATTTTAATATATATTAACGTGTTGTAATATCTACGTCCAATAATGACGGTTGTGATAATAGGATAAAAGTATTTATTTGGTTAACCATTTCTCTCTAAATAATTATAGATTAATATGATAAAAATGTTAAAAATTTAACCATCTTCGTGGAAGCGTAGATTTTGACCATTGCACTTTAGATTTCGCTAGGTAATTGGATTAACATGATGAAAGTGTTAAAACTTGATTATCTTTATAAAATTATGAAATTTGACCATTTAACTTTAGATTTTGCTAGGTAATTAGATCGACATGATGAGTGTAATACTTGACCATCTTTATGAGAGTGTTGAGTTTGATTATTTCACTCTAAACTTCACTAGATAATTGGATCGGCATGATGAGATTGTTAAAACTTTACCATATTCGTAAAAGCATAAAATTTGACCATTTCATTGTAAACTTCGCTAGATAATTAGATCGACACGATGGAAGTGTTAAAACTTTACCATAAGTGTAAAACTTGACCATTTTACTCTAGACTTTGTTAGGTAATTAGATCGACATAATAAAAGTGTTAAAACTTGATCATTTTTATAAAAATATAGAGTTTGACCATTTAACTCTAAATTTTGGTAGGTAATTAGATCGATATGATGAAAATGTTAAAACTTGATCATCTTTAGGGAAACATAGAGTTTGATCATTTAACTTTAGACTTTACTAGGTAATTGAATGAACATGATAAAAGTGTTAAACACTTTACCATCTCTATAAAAGCGTAGAGCTAGGAGAATGTTTGTGATGATGTATGAATTTATGTAGTTACTCGACACAATGTTCGGAAATCATTTTCTTTAATAACTTTTGTAGCTTATATACCCTATTATGTAAAGAGTTAATTATATAAATCATGTATGAATTTATCTTGCTAGTATAGTTACCAACACCCTTTTATGTTCAAAGATCATTTTCTCGAATAACTCTTTTAACTTATATGTAAGATAGTTAATTATATAAATTATGTATGAATTTCTTTTTTGGTGTAGTTAGTGACACACATCTATGATAATCATTTTCTTTATACTTAATGATCTCCTCTTATTTTTTGGTAGAGAAGCAAATATTTTGAATTATATGAAATATTTTTTTCATAATATTTATATCATATTAAAGAAATATTGAACAAATATTTATATAATATTCAATGATAACAAGTTGAGAATAATTTGTGATACCTAATAAATTTGACACATAATTTTCTAATAACAAATTTAATAATATAATCATTGATAATATTGGATATTATATACAAATATTCTTAATAATGTTTAAGAAACCATTACATTCCTAATGAATTAACAATAACAATAATAAAGAATTAATGTTATTTATGTTGAATAAAATAAATCATTATATATGAATACATCTCACTTTATTATTTAAATTCACATTAAAAAAATATTAAGTATAATAATGAAAAATAAAAAATATGTATCTTGAGATAATTAAAAATATAATTATACGCCTCTGATGGACAATAATAATGTTATAGGATGAGTATATTTAATTTATACCAATCTTAAAATCAAGTTATTTGTTATTGTAATATCAACAAAATTAATATTATCATATATTATTTATTTTGCTTTCTCGATTTTATTATTTTGAATATTATTTAAATCATTCTACTTAATTACTAAAATTATACTTTTTATATTTATTAGTGGGAAATCAGTTAAAACATCTATATATCCATATTTTTATTTTTTTTACTTTTAAATATGTATTTTCTATTAATTATATCTTTATATATTATATATTTATAATTTTTTCCTCTGATAATACTAGAAGTTGTTATAACAAAAATTACAAATAAATTTATGATTAATTATTCTATTATATATCAAAATTAACTAAATAGGAAACAGTTCCGGCTCGTTATAAATTAAAGACTTGATCGAAAAAACGCAACTCCAAATTTTCCTTCCACACGCTAGACATCCATTACGCCAAGATTGCCAACAATAGATAACAGCAACACAAATTTTTTGGAGGAAAAATGTGATTCGAGAATTCTTCTTTTCTGACATATCTCATCTCCAACTCACCAACTCAGCTTATCGTTGCACTTCAACTTAATTCCTTATCTTCTCTTCACTACAGGTACCCTTTCCTTTTCTCTCTTCCGTTCCATATATTTGCCATCTCAATTTTTCATTCCATAGTTCCTTTGCAAGTTACCACATTCCTCACCATCTATTCTAATTGATTGCATTGCATGTGCTTTTTCGCATCGAAACTTTCTGGGTTCCGGGGGCTCCTAACCACGCTATTTCAAAACCTTTGTGTTGGGCGCAATGGCGTTCACTAACCATCTTTCGATTTTTGCCTTCTATTGTTGTTTTTTTTTTTTTTCCGCTTTCCATTAATTTTTCATGAAGTACCTTTTTTCCGTGAAATTTAGATTCGTACTATTTCCAGCCTATTGATTATGTTATTCTTCTGCATCAGAATTCATCATTTTCATTTGTTTACTTGAAGATTAAAGAAGGAATAAACTTGCGATGTGAAATATTTATGGTTTCATGTCAGTTAGATGTGCTTGAGGGCGCAAGTCCTTTTCAGCATGTTCTTCCTCACCTATAATTTGTTTAGGTGATCTTAAATTTTCTCTAACCTGCTCTTCACTGTTTTTTGCATTATTTTTTTCTGTCCTTCTCATGGTTGAAATGAATCCGAAAGTTCTTGCTTGATGAATGCATATAACAGAGTCATGCTTTATGTCATTGTTATTTTTATCTATTTGTGATTTCTGTAAGACTCGGTGTTTGTTTGGTTTGAAGTTGAGTAGAATTGATTTTGAACCTTTGAATATGATTGAATGCTGGAACACCTCCACATTGGGGAGGTCTCCTTAAAAGGGAGACCTTGTAAGGTGGGAGGTTCTCCAACCTCATGAATTAGCTTTTGATGGATGGTTCCCTCTTTAGTCTTATGGTTGTTACATTGGTGCTTTCATTGAGAGCCAGCCAACTCGAGAAGGGCTACCCACAGAGTCTTCTGACCGGTAAGAAGACCGAGTGAAGTGCCGGTGAGTGAAGTGCCGGTGAGTAAAGTGCCGGTGAGTGAAGTACTGGGGAGTGCGTCCATCGAGGACGCTGACTTTCGAACGGGTGGTATTGTAACAAGTCCCACATTAAGGAGGTCTCCTCTTGAGCTAGCTTTTGAGGGATGTTCCCCTCCTTAGCCTTATGGTTGTTACAAATGCATTCATAAATTGGTCCGAACCACATATTTTAATTGAAAAGTTTTATGTCCACATCTTGTTAACTAAGTTTTTAAACATCTGCCAGGATTAGAGGGAAGAGACTAAAAATGGTAAAATCAACATATGAAAGTTTTTCAAAGGATTTTGTAATGGGAGGAGCAGCAGCAATTGTATCAAAGAGTGCTGCAGCCCCAATTGAGAGAGTGAAGCTTTTATTGCAAAACCAAGGTGAAATGATTAAGAGAGGACAACTCAGAAATCCGTATTTAGGTGTGTCTGATGGCTTCAAGCGGGTCTTCATGGAAGAGGGTTTGATTGCCTTTTGGAGAGGTCACCAGGCCAATGTTATCAGATATTTCCCCACACAGGTGAGTTAGTTATTCACTTCACTGGCATCCTGATTAGTGTTAAATAATGACCAGCATTCCCACCCTCGCCATTTATTTTTCTTTTTGTAGTGCTATTGTTTGTGAATGGGCTATAGTTTATTAACTTTGTAGTGCTTTGTTTTTATCTTTTAATGAAATTTCGTCTAAGGTAACAGGGAAGAGAAAAAAGAAAGCTAAAGAGTGAGCATGACAAGTTATGGGGCCTTCTGAGTGATGCTTATAAAATTAACCATTAAATGTCTGGGTAATTATTTCTCGTTATATTCTCTAAAACCTCAACTAAATAATATATTCAAATTCTTTTGCCATGGATTTTGCATTCCTTGTCATCAAATAGATCTTAGGTATTCAAATTAGAAGGAACATCTGTTAACTTATTTCCCTTTCACCCTCTTGTTTTTTCCTTTCTATATTCTCAATTAAATCAAAATGTACCTTATTTTAGAGCCTTGACTTATCTTATTTTCTATTGCATAATGCAACAATAACACTGTGGATCCAACTTCATTCTTTTAGATATGATCGTGTCCAGTTTGTTCTGTTGCATTACCCCAAGCTTCCTTTGTGCTTTTCCTGTCAAATGGTTAATGCATGTCAAATATTATCAGTCATGTCTTGGCTTTTGCATAAAATAATGCTCCATGTATATTGGAAAAAGCTACATCAATTGCTGGAATAATGTGTCTCAAATAATAGTTTTCTTTTTTATTTATTAAAATAATATTTGAGCAAACAGTTAATTGGTCTATAGGCTTTCAATTTTGCATTCAAAGGTTACTTCAAAAGCATTTTTGGGTACTCCAAAGAGAGAGACGGGTACATTAAGTGGTTTACTGGGAATGTGGCTTCAGGCAGTGCTGCAGGAGCAATAACTTCGCTGTTACTGTATCATTTAGATTATGCACGTACACGATTGGGTACTGATGCAATAGAGTGCCGTGTTACCAGTCAACGCCAGTTTAAAGGACTGATTGATGTATACAGGAAGACCTTATCAAGTGATGGAATTGCTGGGTTGTATAGGGGATTTGGCATTTCATTATGTGGAATTACCATGTATCGAGGGATGTACTTTGGGATCTATGACACCCTGAAGCCTATTGTTTTAGTTGGGCCATTTGAGGTAAGCAACTAAGCATTTAAACTTCAGTAATGGGAAAATATATAGTGGATACTTGATACTTTTAACTGAGAATTTTTGCCTTCTATTGCTATGGGACTGGTATGTGTGTCAAAAATTGAAGTTCTCCTAGATCCTACAGATTTTCATTGATAGTCGGATCCTTGAGTCTGAACATTCATCTTTAAGACATAAGTCAAATAACTATTTTGGAAAAAAATTTATTTAGTTTTCTTGCAGTCTACCTATTGTAGAGCTCTTTATTGTATAGCACTTTGATGAATTTAGACCATTGGTTCTGTTCTTTTATGCTCAGGCATTCCAATGTGAGTCTGTTGATTTACTTTCTGCAGGGGAACTTTCTTGCTACTTTCTTCTTAGGTTGGAGCATCACAATTTTTTCAGGGGTTTGTGCATACCCTTTTGATACATTGCGCCGGAGAATGATGCTTACCTCTGGACATCCAAACAAGTACAGTAATGCAATACATGCATTTCGTGATATTGTTGGACGAGAGGGTTTCTTAGCTCTATTTCGAGGAGTTACAGCAAATATGCTTCTTGGTATGGCAGGGGCTGGGGTGCTTGCTGGATATGATCAGCTGAATAGTTTCTCATCTAGACATAGTGACTATAACGAGACAAATCAAAGAGTTTTGAAATGAATGGTGGATTTATAACGGAGAAAAGCATAAACTGAAAAAGGACTATTCATCATCTTGAATGAATATTATGCATATTTATTTCCAAGGTTTGGTATCATAACACAGAAAACAAACTTTTGGACATGATAGCGGAACGAATATGTTCTATAAAGTTTAAACTAATCTTTAGTTCAATAAGTAATCACATTTATCATGTCCAAAAGTTATGTGATTTTTAAAGGGGAGTTTTGCAATTTGGGACCTTAAAAGTCATACTTATCATGTAGAATGAATACTGTGGCTGTTCATTTTAAAAGTTTGGTCTCAAGGACCATAAACAGAAAAAACTTTTGGACTTGATGGCCGAAGGCATTTGTTCTATGAACCAAACCCTGGTTCAATTGGTAAACTTAATTTTTAGGTCCTTGAATCAAATTCTCCCTTTTTAGTGGGGAAATTTAGAATTGATATGTTTTACTGCCTTACTTGTTACTGTCCATTTTTTTTTAATTATTTAGCTTGAATTGGATTAGTTAAAGCATAGGGAAAGACTGCAAAAAGCAGTCAACCAACATGTTTGTTTATATAGAATGCCTTTATATGAAGTATTCAATGTATATTGTACATGGTCCGCTTCAATTATCTGTATTAACATGTTTGCTCAGATTTATCTCTGGAATTTGCCTAGAGTAGACAATTTATTCATATAAGATGCATATCTCATGAGAATTGAGGTTTTATACATCGTTACATAGTGATACACAGTTTCCAAACATTAACTATTCTTGGTATAAAAAAAATGTTGTTACTATTTACGTAATATTCATTCCAATTATATTGATTTATGAATATTCCCACAACAAGATGAGATGGCTGTATTGATTTATTTTAAGATTTTAACAAGTTAGCTTATGAAATACTTATTTTGCGGTATTTCTAGTATTTTGACAAAATTACAAGAAAGAGAACTCTTATTGAATTAAGGGATGACCATCTATAAAGGTAACAGAAGCATTGTAGAACTGCAATCACTACAGCAACCACAATCTTCAAAAAGCCATAAAAGCCAAATAACTGAACATTATAGATTAAATACTGCTTGTAAAATTCGAAGCATCAAGTTTGTTAAACATCCTCAGCTCTCAGCACCCTCGTTGTCTTCTTCTCCGGAATCATTACCTTCATCAGCAGATTCATCCTGGTACTGTTGATACTCTGCAACAAGATCATTCATGTTACTCTCTGCTTCAGTAAACTCCATCTCATCCATTCCTTCTCCAGTGTACCAGTGCAAGAAGGCTTTCCTTCTGAACATAGCTGTGAACTGCTCACTCACTCTCCTGAACATCTCCTGTATAGAAGTTGAGTTACCAACAAATGTTGAAGCCATAGAAAGGCCTTTGGGAGGAATGTCACAAACACTAGACTTCACATTGTTGGGAATCCATTCAACAAAGTAGGAAGAGTTCTTATTCTGTACACTCAACATCTGTTCATCTACCTCTTTTGTGCTCATTTTGCCTCTGAAAACCGCCGAGGCTGTCAAGTAACGACCGTGGCGTGGATCAGCCGCACACATCATGTTCTTGGCATCCCACATTTGTTGCGTCAGTTCTGGTACGGACAATGCACGGTAGTTTTGTGATCCTCGAGATGTCAGAGGAGCGAAACCCACCATGAAGAAGTGAAGTCGTGGAAATGGAATCAAGTTTACTGCCAACTTCCTTAGGTCTGAGTTGAGCTGACCTGGAAATCTTAAGCAACAAGTAACTCCACTCATTGTTGCTGATATCAAATGATTCAAGTCTCCAACTACGAAAAGTCAATTGAGGAAATGACTATTAAGTGAAGAAAAAAAAAAACATCGTTAACATAGGCGCTTATTAGTTCTACTGCAAGTATACTTACAGCTTGGTGTACTGAGCTTGAGAGTCCTGAAGCAGATGTCATAGAGTGCTTCATTGTCAAGGACCATACACTCATCAGCATTCTCCACCAACTGGTGAACAGAAAGTGTAGCATTATAAGGCTCAACAACCGTGTCTGACACCTTTGGAGATGGAAACACAGAGAATGTAAGCATCATTCGATCAGGGTATTCCTCTCTTATCTTCGAAATCAGCAGAGTTCCCATTCCAGAACCTGTTCCTCCTCCCAAGGAGTGACACACTTGAAATCCTAAACTCAAAACCAAAACCAAAACTGTAAAATACATAAATATCTCATTTTAATGGAACAGTGTATCATAATGTTGGTTACTTTTTTACCTTGCAAGCAGTCACAATTCTCAACCTCCTTCCTAACAACATCAAGGACAGAGTCAATAAGCTCAGCACCCTCAGTGTAGTGGCCCTTTGCAAAGTTGTTTCCAGCACCAGACTGGCCAAAAACAAAGTTGTCCGGCCGAAAAATCTGGCCATAAGGGCCGGTGCGGGCAGCATCCATGGTGCCAGGCTCAAGGTCCATTAGCACTGCCCGGGGCACGTAACGTCCATTACTGCCCTCATTGTAATAAACGTTCACTCTTTCAAGCTGAAGTTCGGTGGTGCCTACGTACTGCCCCGTAGGATCAATCCCATGCTCATCACACACCACTTCCCAGAACTTAGTTCCTATTTGGTTCCCACATTGCCCTCCCTGAATGTGAAGAATCTCACGCATTTTCTAGCTTGGATTAGAAGCCAAAATTAACTCTTTGCTGGAATGAATAAGCAAAGATTAGTTACATTTATAGTGAAATGAAAAGGACCTAATTACATGACCACCCTTTGAAAATGGTCATTAAGTTGGACTTGAATGAACGGTTGAATGCCATCTGTAAGATGCTATTTACAACCTCGCCGGCTTCACAAGAAGGTTTCTCTGCTTACTGCTCAACTTGGTTTTTTATTATACCAATGGTATATGCAAATATCAGAAGATACTTGAAAGCCACCATATAGTAAGTTAGAACTGAGGACTCACTCTTTTCAGTTTTGGTTTTCTTAATATAAACATCAGCATCTATTTTTAGATTATAAAGGGCTGTGCCATTTGGAAGACCTAAATGACTTATTTATTGTCTTTTACATTCGAAAGTGATTGCATGCGGAGGATGAGAGAGTTTCATGGTCCATAAAATAGAATCTGATGCATATGCAAAGGCCGGCAAGTTCTGTTGAACGATGAATATGTAGTAACTATGTCCAGCTTTCTTGCAATAAATGTTGCTACGCCTTATCTAGAAATTAAACCAATAAAATATTATTTGGTTGAAATATTTCTTTGTTGTTCAAATATATCAAAATCTCTGACTTATGCTACTTTCTATTCCTCGAAAGCAGATCAGACCAGCTATTTTTAAATAAGTGGTAATCCTCTTTCAATGGCGTATGATAAAAAAAATAATAAATGAAAAAAATAATGGATATTAGTACATTGAAGTAGTATCCGTAGTAGCAGCATCTCCAATATACTGCGCTGATGGATTGCTTCTTTTGATTGTTACATAAGAATGGTTTCTATAAGCATAAGCATCTCATGACAAATCACAATATTAGTTTTAACATGTTTATATGTTGAGAAATGTTCACTGACAACATTTTATTTATTTCTTTTAAAATAAATAAATATAAAGGTAAAGTGTAAGAATATTAATAATTATAACACAATTAATAAAAGATATAATTATTGATTACCGTGAAATAGTTTTTGAAAATAATATTTATCACTTCTGAAGATATATTACAAAATCTAAAAAATCATAAGTGAGACTTATTAAAGAATGAGAAAAACTCGTGAAATTTTATAATTTTTAATAAGTTTTAACTAGTAACGAGAAAAGTTTTAAAAAAGTAATAATTCTTTAAAATTAAAGAAGGGTTAGTTATAAGACTAAAAAGTGTGTGTGGACTTCTTAAATGAAAGTCAGAATTCACGCTGCGAAAGGTTAAAATTTATGTGACAAAAATGTTAAACAATTCCTTTTATATACATCATAAATATGACTTCGTCTACAAATCACCAAAAACATTCAAGAAGGAAAAAGGACAGAAACAAAGCACTTATGCATGATATAGAGACTTTTCGGTACTTATATAGCTGTCATCCCATATTCAATTAATCACATATTCTGTCCGTCTTTGACTTCTCAAAGCCAAAGACCATATGCATGTGAACACACTTCACGAAGTTATTGTTTTATGCATCATACACATGACAGTTAGACCTGTTGGTGTCTCTAATGAACTGCATCTTGGATCAAAATATCTGCTCATTTCTTGATAGATATACAGCATAACCAGCATTCCTCCACTTTCCAGCAGAAATATTCATCATGCCCTCAACTTGAATAGAGAAAGAAAACTCTCAGAGAACCAAAATTAAAGTATTCCATCCACAGAAAATATAAGATTGCATATTTTTCCCTCTATGGAAACACTTTCCTGAGAACCACTATTGACATGTAGGGTCTTCTTTGCTCTCCTATAATGTTCTGCTTCCGCGTATCTACCATTTCTTTCCAAACCGGCTATTAGTACTTTATATGTACCTAACACAGGACAAAATCCTTTGCTACACATGGTTTTGTAAATCTCAAGTGCCTTATTAACTCTTTTAAGATAGAAGCAAACACTTATCAAAGCAGTATAGGTGGCGATGCACTTATGGTTATCAGGTAATGAATTGAAAATCTTCATGGCCAAAGTGTGATTCTTAGCATAACCAAGCCTAAAAATCAAAAGTGAAGCCAGATAAATTCCAAGAGAATGTCCAGCTCTAGTCATATCCTCAACAATGTCCACCAGCTTTGAAATCATGTTTGATCGGATCAACAAGCCCATTAAGGAAAGATATCCTGCTCTCTCAATACTTATTGCCATTGTAACACTGTACTTGAAAGCCAACAAAGCACCTTCAGGTCGGCAATGACTACAATTTTCCTCAATAATAGTCGAGACAACCTTATGATCTAAAGATATTTTCTTTTCCATCATCCCTGTAAGTAAATGATCAATAGCAACAACATTTCTATTTTTCAAGAGTACAAATATAAGCTCTCTATCCATATTAATAGGAGAATCTGCTGCAACTGTGATTCTATCACTTGCATTCTTCCTTGTGCTACAATCAATATAAAACTGTGGATTGACTTGCCTTAGAAGGCTATCATTCTTTCCAGCAACTTTTAAAGCTTCCAATGCTTCAACAAAAACAGGGTATCGAAGAACAAGACGGTTTTCCTTCATGTACTGAAGGATATGTGTCATGAACTCAGCTCCACCAACTTTAGAACACCTCTCAATCAAAATATTACATGCAGCTTTATCAGGTTGTGCCCCAGCCTCTTGCATCTTTTCAAAAATCTCTAGGGCCTCTTCGCATTTTCCTACAATACAAAAATAAATAAAATTACCACATTTAACTTCATAATGAACTAAAGACAGTAAGGGTCAGGAAATGTGGTAAGTAGAAGCACTTAGGAGCTTCAAAATGCAATTGTGCTGAAAATGGACGGTATAAAGTTATCATGCTGATCCGCAGAATTTGTAAACTCAAGTAATATGTCTTTGACGGTATAATGCAACAAAAGTAAATACATCATTTATTTTCATCAAGACGGAGATCATATAGCTCTAAGTAAGTCCTAAAGTAGAGTCCAAAATGCAAATGTTAATGGGCCACATAAGCTTGAGCTTTCTGCAAACCAAGAATCATGACACGTTCATCTAGACACAAGTTCATTTAGTTATGAAATGGTAGCACCACAGATAGGATAAAATAACAGAGAATTTAATTAGATTGCATTGATACTCATACTGTCATCCAGTCATGAACATCACGTATGCTAAAATGACCTCGTTGACTTCTATAATATTTAATTCAAAGGTCATATCCAAAATGATTTGTATTTGGGTTGGTAGTGAGAAGTTTTTACACTCATTAACTAATGGTGTACAATCAAATTATTCTTTTATATCATTTTTAACAACCACCATTCAATAACTTGCAAAGACAAGGACTGAATGCCCTGCTAGACCAAACAACAAACATGTTAAATGCACACTAACCAGATCCAATAAGATAGTCCATTAGAATAGTGTAAGTGTGACAATTTGGAGCAACACCAGAGCTAATCATCTCCTTGTAAACACGAGTGCCCTCCTTTACTTTTTTATTGTCAAACAGAATCTTCATATAAGCCGTGTAAGAAACAACGGTGGGGCGACACCCCTTAGATTTCATTTGTTCCCACATTTGCATAGCCTCATCCACGTTCCCAGAACTGGAAAGCCAATGCATCATGGAAGTGTAGGTAACAGAGTCAACCTTGATCCCCTTCTCCTGCATCAGCTGGAAAATGTGCTTCATGGAAGAGACTCTCCCAGCTTCTCCGAAAATATCAAGCATCGTAGTGTAAGTGTATTGGTCGTGCTTGAACCCTCTAAGCCCAGAGGCCCAGTTGAAGAACAGCCACGCTTTCTCCATTGGAGGGTGTGACTTCAGAACCTGGTTCACCGTGTAAGAGTCCCACTTCAAAGAGAGATTGTTGAGCTCTTCCTCAGCGGTTTCCCAAGATGAATACTTTAACATGTTGTAAATTTTTCCAATTAAGTTTCTCATATATTCTCTGGGCTCATCCTTCTTCCTCTTTTCCTTCAATTTCTGAGGTTTCTTCATGTTGGTGTTTCTATAGCTGCAAAATGGAGAAATGGATTTGCTTTTCTGTTTGCCTTGATGTTGATGAAGGGAATGCATGGCTTTGGCTTTGGTAGAAGAAGAAGGAACAACGGTTTTGAGAAATCCATAAAGCTTGGAGATTCTGGTTCTGCACATCAGTAACAATGGATAACTATGAACAATGGACTTTTCATCACATTAAGTCTGCTTGAATTAGGTTCAATAAGAGAGATGAATTTGATGTTCAAAGAAATGCATCCAGAAGAAACACCAGTCTCACAATATGTAGATTTTCTTCTAAAATCATGCTTATTGCAAAGATGACCAGGTCAGATTTTATTTTTGTCTAAGCTTCGTTACATGATGACAAAATCTGTCACCACATTTCGTTTTGCGTTGTTACATCTTTACCTCCCAAAAATGGGTTACAATGAGTTGGTCCATCATAAAGAATATGAGTTACAGGCTTAAATTTGGCTCGTTAAGAGGCGGATCAGCGTTAGTGTATTATCAAGTTAGTCAGTCATTAATATATATATACATATATATTATATATGTTTTAAAAAATATATTTTTAAATATATAAATAACTTTTAAATATTTATTTATTAATTAATATTTTTATTAAATAAATTAAAAAACTACTATATTTATGTATTAAAATAATTAATTATAATCAATAATTTAAATTTAATTTGTTAATATTTATAATTTAAATTATAATATAACAATATATTTATAAATAATGAGAATATTATATAAGTTATTACAATAAATATAATATTCTTCTTAAAAATTTCAATCTCTTTCCTCATTAATATAAAATTTCATTGGCACTATTGAATTATGAAAGTTGAAACCCGAGAACAAAATTATTCACTTTATCGTATCATTAATATAAAATTCTTGTTGATAAGGTTGTGTCATCATCACTTGTCACTATATTATAATTTATTGTATTTTTTATTATTCCTTTATTTGTTATATACATGATACTATTTGTCATTGTCATTGTCACCTTAACATATACTACCTTTAATGACATTAAAAGCTGTCACTACTAGAAATTCCTAACAAAAACTCTAATCTCTATTCTTACACCACCTTCAGTATAGTGTTAATGCTCTATCACTACTTTGCTTTTGCTCCACCGCTACTTTGCACTTGTTTTACCACTACTTTGCAATTGCCAATAGTAATAGTTTAACAACAACAATGAGACCACGAACATACCAACCATACATCTTGAGTTACCATTATAACACCTGCACCTCCACAAGCTACCAACTTAGCATTTAGAATCTTTGCGAGCCATTGTCACAGAAGAAATTGCAACACATCAAATATTATAGAATTGATGTAGAAAATGTTGGAATTCAATCATTAATCCTAATTTGGTTCTTATAATAGATCATCAATATATGTTTTCTATCCAAATATGAAAATACTCATTATGTCATCATACTCAAAATCATAATGACAACTAAATGCATAAGCGTATCTATGTTAGCCATAATGAAAAGACAAAAGGTTAAGATTGATTTGATGATCTTCCAAATTGTAAAAAGAGCCTTATGTTATGTTTTCTCTTATGAAGGGATAAAGATGAAAAATGAATTCTTAATTTTAATTCCATGCTATTCTCTTTTTACAATTGAGGATCACAACCTCTTGTATTCGTAACTGTTATAAGTTACCCTAAATTTAATGATTATAATTTGACCCTTCATCAAATTATAATACTACTAAAGGTATCTTCACAATTAGTCTTCCATGATATATATATATATATATATATATATATATATATATATATATATATGTCTTTGACCATAATATTTACATTAATGAGACTATTTTAACATTTTGACTAATAAAATAATGGTCATAACATATATAATTACAAAATATTATATATATATATATATATATATATATATATATATATATATATATATATATGACCAAAAAAATTGTTAAGTACATTATCTAATTGTATCAATTGTAAGATCGAAGTAGTATGCCAAATAATCAATATTAAAATGTTTTTTTGTATTTAGTGTTATAAACATAATGAATGAAAAAAAAACACAAAACATGTAAAGGATAAAAATAATATTCTAACCTAACAAGGATAAAAATAATTCTTTTACTGTAATCACTAGTGAACCAACATATTAAGTGTGACAATGGTATTTCGTAATATTAGACCTAAACATTTATTATGTTGGTTTGGTTTCTAGTATAATTGACATAGTAAATAACTTACTATGTTAGTTCTTTTCTTAACCAACATAGTAAGTTTTTAGGGTGACACTTTTATAGTTGATCCCCACAGTATCTTAATCCTCCTTCATGCTGCATAATTTTCTCTTCACTGATCTCGACGCCCATTGTTGTGTTCTTCTCCTTCTACTTCTTCCCCTTCCCCTTACCGTAATCTCATAATCTTCTTCTACACTGCACAATTCGCTCTTCATCATCGTCAACGCTCATTATCGTTGTTTGAGTTCCAGTTTTCCTTCCTCTATTTAAGTTATAATTATTATTCTTCTATTTTCTTTATTGTCTCCTTCCTTTTCTACGCCTATTAGCAATTTCAAATTTCATGGACTAGTTCTCAAAGTTTACTACTTTATATTAACTTTTGTTTTTCTTTATTTGAAGCTTAATTAAGGTTTGAATGATTGAAACTAAAGGAATTAGGTAAAAGAAAAAGGGGATTGAATATTTTCTATTATTGAAATTTGTCAATAAATTCTAATTTTTCTAGCTTAGGATTGGTTTTGGATTCCTTGAAGCTAAAACGTACAAAAACTAAGAAAACTAGAAACATATTATAATGAGAATCCCAAGTAGTAACTTGAGATGACTTTCCAACATATGGTAACTTGAGTGGATATAACATTAAGGATCATAAAGCATGTCCTATATTATAATGAGAACTAGAAAACTAGCTTAGGATTGGTTTTGGATTCCTTGAAGCTAAAACGTACAAAAACTAAGAAAACTAGAAACATATTATAATGAGAATCCCAAGTAGTAACTTGAGATGACTTTCCAACATATGGTAACTTGAGTGGATATAACATTAAGGATCATAAAGCATGTCCTATATGTGAAGCAGACACATGTCACCATCAATTACAACATGGAAGGAAAACAATATACCTTAGGCATAGTAGATTTCTAAATTATAATCATCCTTTTTGTAGATTGAAAAAAACATTTAATGGATGTCAATAAAATGAAGTAGCTCCAACGATCTTAAGTGGATCACAAGTATATGAGCGTATGAAAGAAATACAAGTTTTGTTTGGAAAGACGCAAAAACAAGGTACAACAAGAAATATATGGAAGAAAAGATTGATCTTTTTTTATCTCCCATATTGGAGAGAGCTTGATGTGACATGTATGTAGAAAAAAAATATGTGTGATAGTATTATTGGAACACTTCTTAATATTCAAGGAAAGACAAAAGTCTGTGTCAATGCTCGTTTGGATATGGTTGAAATGAATATCAGAGAACAATTAGCTCTACAGTCTCATGGTAAGCGAACATATTTGCCTCTAGCATGTTATACATTGTCTAAACAAGAGAAAAAAAGTTTTTGTGAGTTTCTTAGAGGTGTGAAAGTTCCACATGGTTGCTTTTCAAATGTGAAGACACTTGTATCCATGAAAGATCTAAAATTGCTTGAACTAAAATCTCATGATTGTCATATTTTGATGCAACAAATTCTACCTGTAGCTATTCGGGGGATATTGCCTAAGAATGTAAGATATGCGTTAACTAGATTATGCTTCTTTTTTAATGCAATATGTAGGAAAGTTATTAACCCTTAAAAATTGGATCAATTGGAGAATGACACGATAGTTATCTTATGTCAGTTAGAGATGTATTTTCCTCCATTTTTTGATATCGTGGTCCATTTGATTATACATTCAGTAAGAGAAGTTAGATTTTGTGGTTCGATATTCTTATGATGGATATACCCAATTGAGCAATATATGATATTAAAAGGGTACGTAAAAAAACAATATTGTCCTGAAGCATCGATTATTGAAAGGTATATAGTAGAAGAAACTATTGAGTTCTATACAGATTATTTGTCAAAAAGTCATACCCTACTTAAATTGTGACAAAGATATTGTGAAGAAAAATAATCCCTGGATACTTGAGAAACAGGTAATTAACGAGCATAACAAAAGTTTCTTGAAATGGTTCAAAGAGTAAGTTCAAAAATGATAATACAACTTTTGTTGTTTTGAAATGGTTAGTATGTGGGCGTAACTTTGATGTCATACGTTGAAGTGGGTATGATATAAATAATTACTCATTTTATACAAAATTTGAAGATGAAAAAAACACAATGCAAAACAATGAAGTAATGGTTGTAGTTGAATCAACGCATTTCTCTAGTTCAAAGGGTAAATATCCTGTTATAGAGTCATTATGGTACTTTGGTGTAATTAAAGATATATGGGTAATTGATTACACAAGCTTGGAGTACCTGTTTTTAAGTGTAAATGGGTGGATAGAAATAGTGGTGTCAAAATTGATGATTTAGGTTTTACCTTAGTTGACTTTGAAAAGATAGGTTATAAAGAAGAATCATTCATCATGACATCTCAAGCGAAACAAGTATTTGATGTCATTAATTCTGCTGATAAAAGATGGTCTATAGTCCTGCAAGGGAGAACCATTAGTCATGAGAATAATAATTTTGCACTTGATATAAGTGAGACTCCATCTTTTTCCACTAATATGCTAACCTTGGATGTGGAGAATGGAGTAGACGATGTATATGTCACACGTAATGACCATAATGAAGAATTGTGGGAGAACATTCCAACTTGAAAATGTAATAATTTAAATATGAATGTATATTTATCATTTATGTTTGATTTATTTTTTGTTTAGTATATTCAATTTATAGTAATATAATAATTCATTCTAATTTGTTTGTTTTGACAGATATATGACTGATCCGTGTGATATCTCCCATCCTCCTCTAGAAGGGGAGAGTTAAGTCAGCGACCAACTCAGAAAAATGGTAGACGTGTGACTAGACTCAAAGAGTTGACTATTAACCGTAATGCTAATGAGAGATTACCCATATAATTTGATATGCAGATGGAGAAGGCTTTAAGAG